AGAGAATATTATGATTTGCATTTAATCTTTGGCCTTGAATAAGGCTCGGGGTTTAGCTATCCCAGCCAATAAGCCAGTTGCTTCTTGGTATTAGAAGTTGTTTGTAATAATAAGGTCATTGTATTATTTTAACGATATGTCATTTAATGTATCATTATATCTCATTAGTTATAAAAATATTAACCTGAATAAAATATTTAATAGCACAAAGAGTGAAACAATTATACTGATGCGACAAGTGTTTTCCCTAAAATTTACTTAAATGGTGTAAGTTGACTTTTTATTTACGGTTATAACGTAACTTTTAAAATATTTATGGAATAGTGTAATTTTTGTATAATTCATTAATAGAAACCAGTTTTTTTTCTCTCTCCGGTCTTCGTTTACCCGGTTTACTCTTCTCTGGGCTTCCTCCCTGTCCACGTTTTTGCTAATTTACTTGTTTTATATAATTATATAATTTAAGTTTGTAGATTTCTTATTCACTTACTCTAAGAATAAGTGAAAAATACTTAATACACATTTTATCTATTTAATCTTGGAAAATGTAATGGTTTATATGTATTCACCAATTCAAACAATTAAATTTTTCAAAAATGAATGATCATGATGTGGAGTAAATTTTTTTTCCAGAGTAAGCGGATACCTCCCCTTTTTAATGGTTAAATTAAGTTTTTTTTTATGAGGAGAGATTCATTGACTCCAATAGTAAGTTTATTAAACTTACTCCCAATCTTAACTTAACCATCACTTTTAGGTAAATCCAATAGTTTAAATTAGTAGGTAGATATGAATCATTGGATTTCCATAAAATTAATGGCTAGAATGTGGAATGAGTTTAAAAAACTTACTAACTGAATCCCAACATAAGAGAATAATGATATACGTGATACTCATAAGTTATTTACGAGTAGGAATCTTCTCTATTAATAGAGAGACAAATGACTTTTTTATATGTATTCTAAGGGCAAAAGTGTAATCTTATTTTAAATAAAAATGATATAAATGTCCATACATGTTGTTTTTCCTTTATTTTTTCTCATCACTTATTTCTCTATTAATAATGGAGAGGAGTCTCACTCGTTATTTTACACATGCAACTTTAACTCAAAACCCATCATATCTAAAAATCAAACTGAAATCTCATCTTAGGTAGGTAATAAGATTCTAATATCAAAAAGTTCTTTGCAAGCACAAACTATCCATGAAATCAACACAGCATAAAACAATACAACACAACTCAGAGACAAGAGTCTTATTTTTTACATTCACAAGATCGATCTGATTCACATTATGCACAGTTAGCTATCCAAGCCTGTGATAAGAACGGACATCTTCACCTCCTCCTTTGGAAATGTGACAGTGAGTACCCCATTCTCCAGTAAGGCCTTCACCTGATCCACCTTCGCATTCTCCGGCACCCTATAGCGGCGGAGGAATCTACGGCCACTGCTGCTACGCTCCAAGCGGTGGTGCCTGGAGTTGTTCCTCTCCTCCTCTTCGTTGCTCCTCTCAACACTGATCTGAAGCACCCTTACTAATATCTCAACCTTCACCTCTTCCTTCTTCAGCCCTGGCATATCAACCTTCAACACGTGTTCCTCTGGAGTCTCCTTCCAATCCTTGTGGCTGTAGGCAATAGCGTTAGTAGTCTCCTTCGTGCTTCCAAGGGAGAATGGGTCCGAAAAGTTGGTACTTCTACCGGTGCCAAAGAAGCTTGGAATTAGAGACATTGTTATTGTTGGTTGGCTTTGTTATTTTCTGTGTTATATAGTTTTGTCACATTTGTGTGATCAAACAGTGAGTTATGAGTAAATGAAGGTGTGTATATATATTGGAGAAGTAATATATCTTGGTCATCGCATTAACGAGTTGTGCTATATACACATTTTGGATGGTTTTCTAAGAAAACCACTGTGAACTAATGCGAGTACTTTTCTTTTTAGTTACGAAGACGATCTTAAGTGAAAAATGATTTACTCCATATCTTACTAATCCAATCTTGGAAAATCCAATGATTTAGATGTACTTATCAATTCAAATCATTGGATTTTCAAAGATTAGATGGTTGAGATGTGGAGTAAGTCTTTTTCCACTTACTCTTGTAGTAAGTAAATCTCTCCCCTTTAGTTATTGGGTAATTCTCTCTTTTGATAACAAATTGCATTTGTTTATTATAAAAAGTAAATAAAAAATATGAAAGTAAGAGGAATATTAGACGAATAATGTCCAGCCAACAACATTAAAGGGATGTTGATACAATGATACTTATCGTTTCAGCGAAGGAAAGGATTAAAAACATAGATGAGTTTACTTTAATGGATTCTGCGGACAGGTTTCAATTAAAGTAGCATAGAGATAGTGGAAGATTGAAAATGTTTCCCCAGTATTCTTAACTTGTAATTTGTGACATCCACTAACGTAGCATTGGAAAAAATACGGATAGTGAGGACCATGGTAGATGATATTGATACCAATGTTGTGAAACTCGAGCCGGACGTCAAACCGGAGGAGGTCTTGTATAGGTTCTAACCGGTTTAACCGGTTAAGCCGTCCGGTCGGACCGGACGACAATATAATATCATATATAATTATATATATACATATATTATATAATTAATTAAAATAAGTGAATAACTTTGCACAAAGCTTACACATAAATCAAAATAAAAGTGCATCAAAGTTTAAGTCTTACATAATTAGAGCAATAAATCAAAACACATCTCATTTAGAGAGTAAACATTCTAATTCATCCATGTATCATTGTCTTTGTTAGATCCTAAGTTTACATTGTTGGTTAAAGATGTACTTTGAATGTAACTATCTACATCTTCTTGAGGAAAATAGTCTAAATTAAGCAATCCATCAATAGTAATATTTTGTCCTTCAACCATACCTACAAATTAGAATATACGTTAGATTAATATGTATAATAATTAGAAAATATGTATAATACTGATCTTTGAAAAACTCATGCATGAAACTAAGATCATTTGCATTTTTAAACAGTGTAATCGATTACACAATCCTGTTAATCGATTACATGTTGATAAACTAGTCAAACATGTGCATTTTACATGATGTAATCGATTACAATATACTCGTAATCGATTACATCATAGTAAAAGCATCAGATATGTGAATTTTACATGATGTAATCAATTACAATATACTCGTAATCGATTACATCATATTAAAAACATCAGATATGTGCATTTTTTACATTTTTTTTTTAATTTTACCAATCCGGCCGGTTTAACCAACCGGGTTATTCCGGTTTTACCCGGTCTAACCCGGTTGGACCGGATTTTCCACGGCCCAAAACGGCTAGAAACCAATTCCGGTTTTCTACATGTACAGGACCGTTTACTCAAGCGGGTGACGGTTGGATCGGTTGGACCGGCCAGTCCGGTCCGGTCCAAACAACACTGATTGATACCCTATGCATGCGTGTCTCCTCTCCATTACAAGAGAGGGCAGTACATGTTTAAGATTTTGACATATGTCAAAATCAAAACTTAAATAGTTTAGATTATTTATATTTTTTAAATTAATTTTTTTAAAAACTTTCTTCTTTCACAAGTTCAGTACCGGAGAGAAAAAAAATTCATACATGCAAATGATTAAAATCACAGTATTACAAAAAAATTCCGAGACATTCTATCCTTCTCCGACATTGACACCATGGTAAGGAATGCCAGCTGGGAATAAAGCAAAATCACAACCATAAGGAAGGAATTGGGTGGGGATGTATTGATATCATAGATTTGGATTACATGTATAAAATGATATCTCATTTCCAATCATGGACCAGTTACATATTGATTCATGGATAAAATAAAACTTTTAAAAATAAAAATTAAATTTCTTATTTGCTCAACATAAAGAATGAGACGAGACATATAATCTCAGTCCATGTGGCATAGAGTGGAAAGAGTCCACGTGGCATAGAGTGGAAAGAGATATAGTGTTTTAACAGTTATAAAGTTTACGATGTAGTTTGACTTTTTATTTATGATTTTAGTGTAACTTTTTGAAATATTACGGAAGTGATGTAAATTTTATTGAAATTATATATCAGATGTGCCATTTTCTGATGTCCTATTGTGGATACCGTGTCTTCCAGCCACGAAGTTTTGAACACAATAATAAAATAATATTGGATTATGGTCCCAAGCAAATTCTATATGTCAGATGGAGAATAATGGGGGTAGTAAAGTAATGAAGTTGTAAGGATGAAGAGTCTAGGAGTCAAATGATAATGAAGTCTCACCCATAACAATGCTAATATATTACAGAATAAGGACCATACAAAGTTTGGTAGAAACCATTGATTCATTAGTAGTCAAGTAATAAAAAATGAGGAAAAAATGAGAGTTTTTTAAATATAACTATTAAATATATTTTGTTGTCATGGGTCACAATCTTCTAATAATAGATTGTCAGATCACCATCCTCTTTCGTCATGTGCAATATTAGATTTTAATAATATAAAATATTTAATAGATTATTATATAACATACGTGTATATAAATAGTTAATATTGTTTAACAAAAACACCCTTTACTAAAAAAAATACTATATTTTCCATTATAATGAAATTTTCAATACATTACATGAACCATACTCTCCAAATCAAATATCAACCTTAATCCTCGAATTATAAGTGTTTTCTAAAAATTTATGCATTTTGAAGGTAAAAACTAGAATAGATTTACATTGAATAAACATGAGCATGAGAAAATAACTAAAATGGCATAATATCTATTCTTTGCATAGATATTGTCAGACTCGGACACAATGATAAAGAAAGAGACTTGTAGAGAAATGGTGACTGGAAAGAATTTGTTCTGATATCGATATCAATAATCACATAACCATATGAAGGATCAAAGTAAATTCTTTCACTACATCACTCACGGATACATTCTAAGAAGTTGAATAATACATTCATTTTCACAATTCAAAGAAAGTGAAGGAGGCATGGTCCTCATGGTTCTGCAGAATGGGCATCTGACAACTTAAGAAACATTTACCAGAAGAAAGTTCCAAGGCAATGAGCATGAATAAAGTGAAGAATCTTTTTTTGGTAAATGCAGAAATAAAAGTGAATAATTAATCTGAATCATTGTTCACCAAGCAAAATTTGACAGAGATGGACCATGGAGCAAAAGAAGTGGTCTGAGATTGGTAATTGTCCATTTGCAGCTACAAGATCAAATAAATCCAACCTTCAAACCCATTCCATCTTTATAAACACTAAAATGTCGGTGATTCGATTTCTTCATAGCAACACTTGTTGAGAGAGTTAATTATACAATCCAAAATAGATTACTTTATTACCCATAATACATTTCTAGTGTAAAAAATAGTTTCTCCATAACCAATCAACTATCATTCACATAGTTTATTCAAATATGAAGTCGCACTGGATATGAGGGGATGACCAAAAAAGTTTATAAGTAGAAAAAAATAACTTTAATTTTTCATCTAATTAAGTCACATCAATGTAATAAAAATTACCTCCATATTGTGTAAGAAACCGATCATCCCTTCTTACTTCTTTTGGGTTTGAAATGTGATATTAGACCCAATAGCCGATAATTTTAAATCGAGTCTTCTCCAACAACTTGGTTGGGCTCTCACTTCTCGCGTGGAAGAAAGGGCAACGAATTGTACTGCTTACCCAACTTTGTGACATTGCTATAGCTGATAAAATAATATGCTTGGACCAATTCTAATTAGAGCTCCCTTCACCACCTCACACCTTCAAATCCATTTTTAAAATAAAAATAGTTGGTTTCAACTTTTTTGATTGAAAATCATGTTATACTTGGGACATACATAATATAGGGCGGTAAAAATCAGCATATGTTACTTTTCGAATCGATGCTCCATACATAGAATACAAATATATACACTTAATAATACCATGCCTTCAAATTACCTAAAGGTATTAAAGCTCAAATCACATCTACTTTCAACTGTGTGCTCTTGGCATTCTCTTTACCTGGTACTCCTTATTAAAATCACATGGTCCTCTTGCCCCTCCCTTATAACCATACCAAATAATCAAACTTCCATTTCCTTAATTAAAACCTTTTCTTCTTCTTCTTCGTTTTCTATTTGTTTCATGGAATCGCTAAGGAAACAAGCTTAATTACTTTGGACAACTGCCATAATTGAATGGTGAGCTTTTATTGCAACCAACCATATTGCATGGACCCTAGTGAATTGGCAAAATTTGCAACCTATGAATAAGAAATTAGCTGCATCAATTGATTGGGCCTTTTACTTTTTCAAGACAGACACAAAGTGATATCCCATTCATTTTTTAATTTTTCGGGTGCATTAGGGATTGAAATTTGTTTTACAAGATCTCATTGACGTGACCAGGATTTGCATCCAATTTTTTATATTCACTATTATATTATTATTTATGTCATTAATAAGAAAGGGTGAGAATCTACTTAATTCATGAATAAGTTTCTTAAACCTACTCCACATCTTATCCATCAATTCTAGATAAATCTAATGGTTTAGATCTACCAACTAATACAAACTATTGGATTTCCCTATAATTGATTGTGACTAAAATGTGAAGTAAGTTTAAAAAACTTACTATTAGAATCAATCGATCCCTACCCAATAAGAAATAAGTAATTTCGTTAAAAATAATTATTTGACTTCTATTAAAAACAAGTTATTTAATTTTTAGTGTGGTGATTTTTCTTAATAATGATAAACAAAATGGTGTTGAGTAGTGAATATAAAAGATTTTTGTTGAATTCACAAAATTCTAAGTTAAGTGGATCCATAAGTGTCCAATTGGCAAAAATAAATATTTATAGCAAATACTTAATAGTAAACACTCCATTATCTCAAGCATTAAGAAGATTATATGATTTAGTACTTGAGCAAGGTTAGATCTTAGGTATTGCATTAAGGCTAAAACTACTTCTAAAAAGACTAGTCTATAATCTAAAGTGCAAAGAAATACTTTCCAAAAATAAACACAATATTCTTGAAGTATATATATCAAAGAGGAAGTTGATAGAATTAAGTTGGTGAGAGAGCATATTCTTTGAGGGCTTTAACTTGTCGAGTGCCTAACTTTTAGGTTTGTTATCATCATTTTAGTCCTGACCCATCATGATTAAGGAGATTCCTTGATTTTTTAAATTAGAGAGATTAAGAATCTAACTAAGGCCACCATATCGAACAAAATGCGGTAAAAATAGTTGGCTATGTCCCCAAATTATGCTGGAAATTGAAAATTATATATTTTCTTAACTTTTCTTAATGTTGTTATTGATGATGAGCACCAAATGCATAACTATACAGATATAGGTTTGTCTATTTAAGTCGTATGTTAGGGAAGAAAGGAAAGTGAATTGCCCAACTTAATATTCAAAGTAGGATCCAATGTGAGAACCATAGAGACTTTAGTAGCCACATATAAAGTAGTCATTGAAGATTTGGAATAAAAATAGGCAAAGAGAAAGAGGTGTAAATAAAAACAAATGAAACTCTTAAGACCATGCATGTGAGAGGTCGAAGAAACCCTAATTCCTTTGCAGACCGTCTATGCCCCACGGACCAGAATGAAAGCCTTATACCAAACCAATTGGTGTAGGGTATAGAGAGGACATCTTAGCACTTATTGAATTGTCCTTTATGAGATACCCTCTTAATTGAGGCCATGTGACATTGAAAATCCATGTGTGCTTGTGAGAAAAAAAAAACAAGTTTTGTATCTCAGTTTGGACCTCCATCCTTTGCTTCATAAATGGATATGGCAAATGCCCGCACAATTTAAAAATTGCATGCCCTGTCCATTTTAGAACGAGATAAAGGGTATGTGAGAAATATGTGGGTATTAATAAAAAAATAAAAATAAAATCATATAAATGATATACATATTTTCTTTAACTTTTCTTAATGATGTTATTGAAGGTCCCTTATGCTCCGTTTGATGGGGAACAAAAGGCTGGGTGGGACTGAAATTATGTCCTTTAAATGACAGACATATAATGTCCTCTCTATCACAGGTCACACCTCAACCAAAACCTATTACTTTCAAATCTCATCAGACAGTATCATCCTAAATTTAATCACCCCACTATAGCATGTATACTAGTAATAAAATATTTATTACATAAGAAATAATTAGGAAAATAAGTGATACTCTAATACACATAGCTAAAACATTAACAACCAAATGAACATTTGAAGGTTGCATAACCCACTCAACAAAGGAGAAGTTGAAGCTAGGAAAGTGGACACAGAACAAGTTTCAGGCATACAGAAAAATAAGGTTCATAATCTCATCAACATGGAACTTAGAATTTTCGAAGGTGATTTTGTTCCTAACAACCCATAAAGTCTAGATAGTAACGAACCAAATGGACATTCACTATAGCTTTTTCTTGTTCTCCATCCAAGATAAGAATGAATGAATGGAGAAGTTGGCATTAACATCATTATGAATAATTGTGTTAAGACCAAACCGAAAGTAAAGATTTTGCCATACCATATATGATGTTGAACATGAGAATAACAAATGATTTCTTGATTCCTCCAACACACCACAAAGAGCACAGCAGGATGAGTCTTGAGCTTCTAAGACTCCTCGACTCGCAAGGTTTACTTCTGTTGGGACACCGTCCATAGAAATTCTCCACACTAGGCACCTTATCTTTGGTGAAATGTTGCAATTCCATAATCTCTTAAAGAAATTGTTATCATAAGTTTTAACCACCTGTTGCAACGACTAATAAGCATTGCAAACAAAATATTTACAACCTTTATCTGAATCCAAATCCACCCATCAGGGATGTCTTGAGCAAGCCAAACCTCTCCAATTTTGTTTAGGAGATCTTCATATTCCTCTTCTTTCCAACGAAACAATCTCTTTCGGCATTTAAAGTTCTAGGACCAAACTCCATATCTCCAAACTCCCAAGGAGCTAACTCTAGCATCTTTGTTTAAAGCCACTTGAAACAATCTTACAAAAGAGTTTTTAAGAACCTCACAAGTCAGTCTAAAACATAGTGGATTACCTATGATCTGCCTTCCTGTAAATACCTTCACCGACCCACTCACCGAATATTCCTTGCTTCCTAAAGCTAAGATATTACATATATCTCTCCGTCACAAAGAACCCCTATTAAAACTCACATTTTCACCAGTCCCTCATAATGAAGAATGAGAGACCTCAAACCAATATCTAAACCTAAGGACTTTTACCCAGATGAAGGTATTTTGATTTAACAACCCCTCATAATACTAATTGTTGGAATAATGAGTTAGCCAACACTAGAATGTTAAAAAAAATGGGACCAACTACTGTTCTTTCAAACTGTGTCCCAAACTATGTCATGGACTAATAATATTAAAGCAAAAATAAAAAAAGTAATAAATATTTAATTTTTTAATTGAGATGACATGTTTTCATTGATCTGCTATATTGTTTGGAACATAATTTGGGACGAAAGGTCCTTATCCAAAAAAAATAGTGATGTGATAAGTAAAAAAGTTATTCTATTTGTGTATGAATGTTAGCCACCCACTAAAGATGCTATAAGATATTGTTTTCATGGTGGAGAATCAAAGAGGGAGAGTTTGAAAAGAAGATAAATTTATTTCTCATAAGATAAATTTATTACTCCTTATTACTTATTACAATATACCTTTCAATTCCTCATGAAAGAACATGTAATTTTCCAAACTTAATTTAAATTTATATAAATTTGAGAATTACAATATTTTTTAGCTATTTTTTAATATAATTGTGAATTACTTATATATATATATGTTAGGGATTATATGCAAAGCATCTTTGACTAGAACCAGAATACAATGCTTGGTTTTCTTCAACCGTAAATGTGTAGCACTATGGTTGATAGTATTTTATCGTATATTATAATGTATATATCGTGAAATAAGTATGACTATATATTTTGCCGTGTGTTAGTGGGAACACGGATTGGACCACTAACCCTGGTTTAAGTAAAAAAGAAAAAAGGTATTAATAACAAACTTATCTTAATTAAAAAGGTATATCTTATCAGAAAAATATTGGTACACGATTCCTCCTATTATCAAAGTGCTTATATTTATATTTATTTATTGATAGCCAAGTCGAAGAGAATTTCCAATAATGGATATCTAACTCATTGTCGGGTAAAATTTCTTTCCGCGTGTCTGGATTGTTAGGGAATGGGGTCTATATCATCATAAATTTCATAATCAAATCAATTCATGGAAATTTTGAATCGTGATGGAAATTTCTACGTTGTTGAGTGTTTTTTTTGGATCTGGGACCATGAGAGGTAATTTTGCTATGAAGTAAGGTTGACACTGTAAATTGCATAGTATTTAATGCAACTGTATAAAGTCTTGAGGTTCAAGCTCAAGCTGTGCTTATTAAACATAATTATTGATTATTGTATATTAATTTGAATAAAAATAGTATCTGTTTTTAATATATAACATCATACATATACTAAATATTAATTTGAGTGCTCATAATAAAAATATATTCCGAAAAGATCATTATTCCCATGTTGTTAATATATATATATAAGCACTTTTATCATTTGCATTGAAAATCTCACACACACTAAGGCATAGAATTGAAGGAGAGAAGGGCTATACTTGTGAGGGTTGAAGAATTAAGAAGGAGAAGTTTGGTTAATAATTCCGCTGCAACTGAAGGAGACATCCAAAGGGATCGCATTGATCCTAGACCTGGGTCTTAAATCTCTCTTAATATTTGGGATCATGCTATCCCTTTGGATTCTTCCTTTAGTGGCTTCTACCACCTTTCACACACAAACTGCATTCTGTAGCTAAAAGAGATTACGGCTTATATAATTCCGGTAAGTCCATATAATTGACCTTCTTAACTTACCTAAAAGTGATCACAATTAGGTGCTTAGGAAGAGTACCAAAATCACTATATTGTAGTATAGCGGCATATATTAGTTTAAAACTATGCATCTATTGAATAGTTTTCAGATACAATATAATCCAATCACAAATTACTTTATGATTACCTTATATACAGCAAGTTGAACATGGTTGAATTCATATTTCAAATCTGAAATACTCAAAGATATATCAGTTCTTCAGTCCCGGGTGACTGGATCCTACCAAGGTAAATTATTGTTGTTGAAAGTTGTACCTCGTTATTCATTCACAACATTCAAGCTTCGCAAGGTGAAGTACATGTGGAATAGCCTTGAAGTTTGTGTTTTGGTAGGATAGATTGTGCTACCATGAGTTTCTTTTATATATCTCTCTACTAAAATGTTGTTGAGTATATTATCCTTGAAGTTTGGGTCATTGTGTTAAAAAACATAAAGAAACTAGTAGCCTTTTGGTAAGAAAATAAGCTAGATTGTTAAAGCTAAAGTGGTAGGTTGTTGGATTGTGATCTTTCAGACTATTTCCTGTTCTTTTTCACCCATCCTCTAGCTTCTGCCTTCAACCAAAACACCATACATTCATATCTTTATTCAACATAACTTTTTTTTAGGATATCCCCTCACCCACATAATTAACTTGTTTTATGAATATGTGTTTTTTTTAATAAGTGTGACTCTTAAGATCAAATATTATCCTTTAGCTTTATATGATATAATTCAATGTTTTATATCACTATATCAACTCTCTAATGGTTAAATATAAAAATGATTTTCATTTAAAAATCCATAAAACAAGATTATCTTCAAATTAGTTTTGAACAAACATACCAAACACATAATAAATTCAACTTATAATCCATTATATATATAGTTCACTATTGACATAATGTAATTTTCACAAATATCCCAAACACACTCTAAGTGGTGTGATATAGTATAGTGAACTCAAAACAAATTTGGTCAAAAAGATTTTGCAAATATCTTTTATATATATATATATATAATAATTAAGAAATATTTCATATATACTTCAACATTCTTGATTTTAATCAACAAAACGGTACTCTTTTTTGTGTTTAGAAAATAATGGGGGAGAGAAAAAATCATTGAATACAGTAAAAAGTGGAAGCCAGATAATTAGCCATATGTGCTAGGAATAAAACACAGTACCCGCTCATTCATGAGAAGACAATAATTCCATACATTTTTACTTGGAAAAAGAAGTAATTTCTATCCCATTTGGAAGCTTTTGATCATTACATTACACACAACCAACAAATTGATTTCACCTTTAGATAAAGTATATCTTTAATTATTATTATTTTTTCCATTGAAAGCGAACGTTTTCAGCACAACAGCTAACCGGACAAACCCCACTCATATTTTTCTGGGCACACTTAAGTTTTCATGTGTGGACATGTTCTTCTTCTGAACCAACCAGACACCAGTGTTCTATTGCTAAAAGAATGCTTGTATAGGCCTTATTGTTACACACAAGCAAAGCTATTTATTTGTTGTGGCCCTGTGTCAATAGCACTCCAAAAACACAAGCTTTTGTGCACTTTAATTAGAATCCAAGGCAGTGAATTAATTACATTGTCTATTATAAGCGGTTCTATATAACTCTTTAGCCTCACGCAGAGTGTTCCATATGGGAAATAAAATAATACACATGTGCTGTCAGTGCTCACTGCTGAGACCCTGAGAATTTAAAATAGACATTTCAAATGTTGCTATATCTTTCATTGCAATAAAGCGTCTTGCATCATTTTTTACTCAAATGGTTAACTTGAAGTCTGGCATCTCTCTCCAGAACTTGACTATGATAGTAACACTTTTTTCTTTGATCCATTGGCAAAAGGCTTAAGAAACTAAATCATAAATTACTTATTATATGATGAACGTAAATAGTAAATGGAAACTACGAATTAGCAATAAATAATTCAGGTTAGTGAAAGCCCAAGTTTGGAAGAGGACATTAACAATTGTTGTAATCTAATTGTGGTTTATCCCTGCCATCACTTTTGTGTTGAATTATAGAGGAAGAATTTTAGGACAAAAGAATGTACAAATTGTCTATAAGTGAGAACATGTATTCCGAATGTCTCCCTATTGGACTACACAAACTTTATGGACAAGACACAAGCTGACAAAAGAAAAAGAGGTTACATATTTCTTCAGAAAAAATAAATAAATCAAGTTGAATGCTTCCAAGTATATAAAGGATTATTGGCTGTGGGTGCCCATGGATACTGGCCCCAAAGGCTTGATCTGTCTCCAAATTTAAAAACTCTAATTTCCTTAACTGCTCCTCATTCCTCAATGTCTATAATGTATAGATGCATGTGTCTATATTTCAAGGAAAACGATATATCATAATACTAAATTCATATATTAATCCTCTCACTCACAAAAAAGAAAGTGTCATATATTAATTGTAAAACAATAATTAATAAATAAAGTATCACTTTGTGACATATATTATTTTTTTGTAAGTATGAGGATTAGTAGGATGACTTAGTAAAAAAAATATAACATTACTCTTATTTGAATTATTAATTATATTTTGATTGATTATACCTACATAAACACATACTTGCTTATGAATGCTCCAAGTACTCTTCTATGGAATGCACTAATGCAGAACGCTTGCAACCATAAACACATATTTGCTTATGTCACAATGGTGAACGGTAAACGTGATTTTGCAACAACCGCTAACATCAATGGATCAATATCCCAAAACAGAAATCGTTTTAATGAATATTTTTACAATGGAAGTTGTCAAACTCTCCAACATAAGAACAACTTCTTGAATCATCTGAGAAAACTCTTGAACATGCAAATCAATATGAGACTGAAAGAGTGCTACATATCATGCCCATAGAAATACAACCCAGGTCACAAATAATTTCATGTCATTTGGCCTAGCATGGGAGGCTTCATTTGAATTCATCAAACCAAATAGTTTCTGTCATATTCTTTACATTAAAGCATAAGTAATGAAATATGGAGGAAGTACCAAGAGTATTAGATAACTGAGTTTTTAAAGAATAATTTTAAGGATTCAATTCTTGATATGGATATAAATTAATTTTTATATCCGTGATTGTAGGAGAGAGCTAAAGATAAAATGAAATAAGACAAAATATTAAATAAAGAGAAAATGATGTATGTACTAACACTTTAAGATTTTTTTACACACTCACTATATGTTAGCTTTTAAATGTAAGTAATATAAATAATGGTGGGGGATTGTAAATTATATTTTTAAATAAAAATAAAAATAAAATCTTAAAACCAGATAAAAGTTGTATAATAATTAAAGTTTGCCATTTTTTTGCTTATAAAACAATTTGTAATGTACTCAATTTTCCCTTTCAAAAAAATAGTTTGAATCAGTTTTGTAAGAGAAGCCCATGTTACTGGGCCTTGTGTTGAGTCCAAATAAACCTAGGTTTTGCAGTGTTTATACGAACCGTAGAAGTTAATCGGTGTGACGTTAGTGGTGGTGCCGCTGAAGCTGTGGGAGAGTGTAGTTTCTTGCATCCATCAACAACCAAAAATGGTTAAGGGTAGACAAGGAGAGCGTGTCAGGTATCACTTCTAATTCAATTTGTGTCTCTCATTTTCACTTCATTTTAGGTTTATTGGAGTCTTTGATCTTTATGTATTTTTATTCACTCGTTAATGTTTTCTTCCGAGAATTTATTATGCATTGTATGTAGTTTGTAGGAGTAAGTAATCAACCATTTCAGCATTAACTTATAAACTCATATAGTAGATTTTGTTGTTCAATATTTGCTAATTAGTTGTCATTTTTTAATATGTTTTTGTGTACCAGACTTTATGTTAGAGGAACAATCCTTGGATACAAGAGGTACATGTTTTTTCTTTGATTAATTTCGAAGATGTCTTTTTTATTTCGACTTTGTATTATGTACTGAGTTACTATGATGTTTATCCAACATAAGATTTGGGATTAGGTAGTTTGAATGTAATTATGCTAAGAAGTTGGTATTATTGTTGTTGTTCAGGTCCAAGTCAAATCAATACCCAAACACTTCTTTGCTCCAGATTGAAGGAGTAAACACCAAGGAAGAGGTTGCATGGTATGCGGGGAAGCGCTTGGCATACATTTACAAAGCCAAGGTTAAGACCAATGGAAGCCACTATCGCTGTATTTGGGGTAAGGTTACCAGATCTCATGGTAACAGTGGCATTGTTCGTGCCAAGTTCAAGTCCAACCTGCCACCTAAATCAATGGTAATTTCTGTACATAGAAATGATCAATTTTTTGGCCTACTTTTGTATGTTTTTCTGAGTGTTTTGAGTTTTTAAAAATTTGCAGGGATCCAGGGTTAGAGTCTTTCTGTATCCAAGCAACATATAAGGTACCTATACCATTTTATTGATACTTATTGCCTTTCTTCATACATGGTCAGATGTTGTCTTATTATGCTTCTTTGCAAACTGTAATCTGTTATAGTTAGTGCAGATATGTCATTCTGAGATTAAACCAAAATTGTGTAATTGTTGGATTTTTGTTGATTGAATCATTGCCAATGCCATACATAAAAGGATGTCTTTCCCATTCTTAATCTGCAGGACATAACAACGTTAATATGGTATTTTCAACTCTTTCTTCTTTAGAACTGCCCATCTTTATTGATAGATTCTACATATTCCTGAACTGGGTTCAAGTGTAGGCTCTTCCCATTTAAGTCTTAAGCAGCAGTGTCGTACTGTTGAAAATAATTTCCTTGTGCCAATGGTGTTATCCCATCTCTAACCCCATGTCATCTGTTTTATGTCTTTCATGTTTTCTTGTTTTCTTGTTTCAATGATTAAACTTGAGACATGAAATTGCACATAGTTC